TACTGCTAGTACTACGACGACGACGACGACGACGACGACGACGACTACTACTACTACTACTACTAGTAGTAGTACTACTACTACTACTACTACTACTACTACGACGAAGCCTGGGTAAGGCCTAAGACCCTCGGTCTGCCAGGGTGTCAGACTGGTTACTGGTTTTAAGCCCATGACGTCCTTGACTCCGTGGATCCCGAATCGAAGCCCTGTTGACCCCAGGTACCATCCCTCAAAACTAAGAACGACTTAGTTCGGCTCCTCACCGCCGGTCTTTACCCAGTGTCGACTAGGATTTACTAATTCAAAAACCTCACAGCTACACGGCCATCCCCAACTCTCAGACCCGAAGCCTTGAACAGTCAAAGCCCTGGACACCAAATTGAAATACTGGACCCCCGTACTCCTCAACTCCGAATTTAGGACAAGGAGCAAAGCTGAACTTGAGCCTCCCAAACCGATTACTGACTACTACTACTACTACTACTACTACTACTACTACTACTGCTACTGCTACTGCTACTGCTACTGCTACTAGTACTAGTAGTGCTGCTGCTACTGCTGCTGCTTCTATGACTACTGCTGCTGTGGCTACTCCTTCTACTTCGATGGGGCGACATGTAAGCTATGTACAACCATGATTCCCGTCAAGTTTGACTTACTGGGGACTTACTGGGGACCATGCCGCCCGATCTAAATCGCTCCGGCGACTCATGTCTTCTCGGGGATCCTGGGTGTAGATGTACTCAGGGGGATTGGTTGCGTGGGCTGATTCGGGTCTAAAGCACATTTCCGCTTAGAGTGTCCAGTGTCGTTGCGAAACCGCCTGACTGACTAGTTCTTCAACTTCGGTTTGACATTAGGCCTCCACAAATCCAAAGCTGTCCTGCCTCCTTTACTCCTGTCATTGACCGACGAATTTCAGGAGTCCTGGAGATCACGGCTTTCGGCACACCGCATGATCCGGGGATGAGCTGGAGCTCGGTTCTGCCGGCGGTGGGAAACATGTCCAAGGCAGGGTTTGGCTATCATGACTCTCAGCTGCTGAGCATTATCTTGAGTCAGCTTGAGGAATCCGCCCCGGAGATCGCCAAGGTCCTTGTGTACTGTCGGCAGGTGCTGCTCCATCTCTGCGAGAAGTTCGGCAGCCTTCCGGAGGTGTCGAACTGGGACCTCACCCCCTTCCAAACCATCGAGGACTACCTGACGATGATGTCGGAGAGCAAGCTCTCAACCTTCGGACTTCCCGAGCGTGCGACTCGTGTGATCAAGCTTCTCCGTGCCATCATTCGGGGCGAGCACTATGCGGACCGCACTTGCGAGTTCTGTTAGTCGGGGCCAGAGTCTGCGTGAGATGTGCCTATATTATAAGTCTTATCTGTCAGGACCTGGAGGCCACTGTCAGGGAGTTTCCAGATGCCCCTCTGGCCACCAAGCTGGGGCACAGCCGGACACATGCCCTGTTCCAGGATGTCCTGCGAGAGCCTCTTGCTTAGCAGTAAGAGGTGACCGCTGTGTCCCGACACAAGCTGTGAGTGTGTGTTGTTTCCAGGTGGCAGCATGCTCTGCCGTCGTCGGCAGAGGGGCCACAGATCGTCCCGCCGATCCCGGCCGAGAACGAGGACCGGGGCGAGGCCAAGCCGGGCGATTCTGCGACCTCGGAGGCCGAGGTGAACCGCCTCCGAGGTGTCAAGACCGCCGCGATGGAGGAGATCAACCACTACATCAAGTTCCTCGAGATTGACAAAGATGGGTTGGCCGACGGCCCGCTCATCCACGGCAGGGTGAAGCCGAAGCTCGGCAACGATTCATTGCTGCTAGCCCAGTACCGCATTGCCTAAACATTGCGAAAGCTGAGGATCCTGTCCAGCATGCCCCCTTTGGACCGTGGCCAGAACGTGGCCTTCGTGGTAGACCCGGGGGTGATGTCCGAGCCCTCGGAAGCGTACACCAGAGCCCACAACGTCTATTCGAGAACCCCGTCCATCTTCACACACGTGATCACCGGCAGCTTGAAGGCTGCTGGGATGTTTGCCTCGGAGTTGCCAGGGGTAGCCACGTACGGCTGCTTCGACCTGGGCTCATTCAAGGCCAGCCAGTGCGTCAGGTCGCAACTGAGCAAAGCGAAGCTTGGCCGGCACCAATCCTGGGACTTGCTGCCACGACAGAGCGACATGGAGGCTCGCCTGCTCTTCCGTCATGGAACGGACGAGGATCAAGAGCTGCTGTGCTGCAGATTCGGAGTGCTTGTGTAATGTTACGAATTGAATGAATTCAACAGGTCAACTGATGATATCGATCAGGTCGGCACTAAAGCGGCGAAAAACTTTGGGGGTCGCTGCTGGGCAATTGACTTACATCGTGGGCCGTGAAGCCTTCCACTTCTGCCGGAGCCTCAATCCCATTGAAGCCAAGCCGCACAAGTACCTGACAATGCCGGCGGGGCGACTCGATGCAAGGAGGTTTATCATTTTATGGTCCTGCATGACGTAGGGTCTAGACTTCCCTGTCGCATGCGAGGTCTGGTGACTCGTCGGCCAGTTGGCTGACAATTCCGCTGCCTCACCCCTCCACACTGCGACCGTTGGTGACTAAGGCCGAGAAGCAGAAGGCGGACGGGCTTTGTGGAGCGTCATAGACTAGGCAGCAGTTGCATGGCCCCAGCCATGCAGGTGCTCCTGAAGTATGACAGCAAGAACCAGAAGAAGGAGGCCAATGCCAAGGCACTGAACGATGAGGAGGTTGTGCAGCATGCAGCAGAGATCGGTGACGAGGACTGCAGTTCGCGTACTGCCGAGTAGCTACATCGAGCTCCTGCCAAGCACGTGCTTCGGTAGGAGCTGCAGCCCTTGAACTACTTGGGCCGGCATGGCAGCCTGCACAAGGAGCCAGCCATTGCAGTAAACCAGCCCAGGTTTTCAAATTCACGAACTCAGCATTGGTGTCAGGAGCTGTGGCACCTGATGGATGTGGGGCGGCTGGTCACCTTCAGCCCGGAGTTCAATCAGCTTTCTGCAGCCATGGAGCAGCGACTCTTCACCATTGCTCTGGTGCGAAGCAGCCTCCACGAGGACCTGCTGAAGAAGGAGTTGGTGGACTGGGTCACTCAGGAGCTTCAGCGGCCGTCGAATGAGCGGTTCTACCGGTCTCACTTGGCGCCGCCGCAGAGAGACACCGTCGAGGTGGCCCCGAACACCTCGACTGGGAGGGAAGCCCCGGTGACAAATGCCACCGGCAACCAGGGCGACCGCCAGGATCACGAGGAGGATGAAGATGATGAAGCGATCCCTGGCCTGTTGAACAATCCGGATGACGAGGAGTTGGATCCAGAGGAGGAGGTTTCAGAGGAGGTGGGCGATGCCTAGGAAGTTTCACTGACGAGACTCAGCAGCCTTTTCGTTTTGTGGGACGGGGACCCAATTCTGACGGGCAGATGATGGCATTCTGATGACTCGCTAACTTTTGACGGGCAGCATAGTCATGATGATGTGGCTCCCCTCCCAGAAGAGAGCTGCGATTTTAATGTGCTGCAAAAGCAGCTGATGCCATTCAAATTTCGACTGAACGACAGTCCAAGACTCCGAAGCTATGCGGCCCAACATCAGCCAGTGGCGAGAAATAGGTGCTGAGGCAATAGTGACATTGCTAGAGGCTTTGGGAGGCTTGCTGGTGAGGTCGCCCCCAGGCAAGGGTGTCGACTTGGACTTGGACTGAACTTCTGTCAGGTATGGACTTCATTGCACAAAGCTGGAGGGGTGTCAGTCTTTGCCAGACTCTGTCAGTGTCTGTGACTGGAAGCCGGCTAGGGGGCACGGGTCACTCATTGCTGCCTGACCTCACTGCACAGGCCCTTCAGCTTCGGCTTCATGAACGTCCGACCCTGAGACTGTGTTCCTCAGGCTTTGGTTTGGGGTTGGGATTGCATTCTATTGAGTTCACAAGCCTGGCGTTGCGAAGGCTAAAGCTCCAGCCAAAGGCCCGGAAGTGTCAATCCAGAACACCTTGGAACAGAACGGGCGACCAGGGCTGCGGCTTCTTCAGGAAATGTTCTTGAATCGTGTCGTAAATCTGCGTCGAAGTGTTGCTTCTTTGAAGCTAATGCTTCGCAACTCGAGCCCTGAAGAAGCTCTGCAAGCCACAAGGCGTTTTAAGTAAGTCCTTCTGCTGTAGCCTGCCACGTCCTTGCCCTCCCCTGCTTGGGCTTCATCGGAGCATCCATTTATGTGTTTTGGCTTCGTGAATGCTAAGTCGGAGGTCATGCATTGGGGTTCACACTGGCAGACTTTAGAGACGAAACATTTTATTGTTATTGATGTAACCCCCGGTAGTTAGTGCTACTGGTGTCAGTTTGATGCAAGTTGTTAATAGTGCTTTTTAGTTCGTCTTGCAGCACTGCGTGTCTTCGCGAGCGACCTGAAGCGGTAACGGCTTCCTAGGCTTTCGGGCTTCTGTTTTTATGAGGCTTCTGGGGTTTCTGGGTTTAGGTTAAGAATTTCGCAGCCTTCATGGCATCTGAGCGGTCGTCCCATACGAACACGACAGGTTCCTCGTGGGTTCCAAGCTTTGTAGGGGTGCAGGCTGTTCGTTTTGAAAATGAGGTTTTGGGATTGGGGAGCATTTGTGTCCGGGCTTAGAGGCGTTTACACTCCAGGGTTGCGAATATGGAGTTTCGACTGAGGCTATAGGGCCTGGTTGCACAGCCTCACATTGAGTCATGAAGCTTTCGGTCTGCGGGTTGTTACTGAGCGAGGTTAGTGTTGTTCTTGGGGCCCGGGGTTTCAAAGGCTGGTCCTGCTTGACAGCAAACAAAGCACCGTCAAAGAGATGTTAATAACAAGAACAATTGTCAAACATAGTTTTCGTCTTCTTGTGTGAGCGGTTTCGTGGCAAGAAGAGTGGTCCTGATTATGATACGATTAGCAGCTTCACTTGAACTACCATGGTGAAGGATGAACAAGATTCTTGCTGTTACAGGTGCCGGCGAGGGCCCGGGCCGGCAGCGAGGGACGAGGCGGACGTTCCGGGTGCAATCAATGATGATACGAAAGATAATGATTCTTGGGAGGGTTTCTTACATTTGGGCCAGTGTTTCCAGGTTTGGATTCTTTCCTAGTCTCGGGCCGCAGGTGGTTCTTCGGATGATCGGAATGTTGTCTTTGGAATTAGGTGTAACAGGTTGAGACATTGTTAGGGAGTTTGGTTTGGCAATAGGGTTAAGAATTGCCAGTTGGCACCGATTTAGGTCGTGGTTGCTTGGCATGCTGACTCAGGCTTCCCGTTCAGCTTGGCTTTCAGAGCGGGGGTCACGGTTGGAGCTGTCACTAGAAGTTAGTACAATAATAATTAGTTAGGCCCTTTCATCCTTCCCCTTGGGTAGCCCGGGTTCCCAAACGGCAGCCTCAAGAAGCATTTCCGCAGCCCAGAGAGTTCGTCACAATACGATCCTATGAAAAACTTCATACATTTGCGTTTCTAAGCTAGAAAGAACCCGGCAAAAACGAAGTTCAGAACTCCATTATCTCGGGTTACAACATAAACGATTTTGATTTGGCATTGGTTAGGATTCCACTTTGAATCACTGCTCTCTCAGTTCAGAGCCCTCAGGAAGCTTAACCCCAAAGCCAAGACCTTATAAACCCTTTGTTGTCTGGTGTTCTCCCACTCGCGAAGTCTGTACTCCTCAAGCCCACGAAGACCCATAGGGGAGCGGCAGACCGTGCGAGCACAGAGTCACGGCAGAAGGCTGCGTTTTCGTGCAGACACTCAGTCTTAATGACTCTTGCAATGAGACTCCTGGCTCTACGTCACCTTCTTCAGTTTCATTCTGCAAGAATACTCAAAAGACTAAACTCCCTACTACAGCAAGGGTTTATTCAATGAAGGCTTGAAAGCCACATGGGTGAACATGCAGATCCTAATTCGGGGACTAGGTTCGGGCACAAGGGCACGATAGGAAGGTGTAGGACAAGCAGGACCCGCGGGCGTTGCCATTTGAAATCAAAAAGCAGAAGCTTCAAAGCTGGATTTCAGAAAGGAGGGGGTTCCTGTAATTTGGGTTCTCGTCTGCTGGGGTCTTAGGCTTGTGCTCCGTTCTTATTTCTGAAAGCCCAACTTTGGACCCCAAGCCCTGAACCCTTCACCTAGATCCCCAACCCGAGCCTCAAAGGCCAGACAACTGTAAACGTGAAAGCGGAGACCCCGGAGTCTTAACTCTTATAATTGAAATTAGGATTTCATTAGGCTTTAAGGTTTCAGGGTATTGAGGGGTTTGGCGTAGTGGGGATTCTAGGTGCAGTATAGGTGCATGAGCGGGCTGCGTGTGAGAAACTGAGGTCTTTTGAGAACATAGCGAGACTCAGAACTGGAACTTGCGAGGCCCCCAAGTGTAGCTGCTGCCAACTTGTTTCTGCCTTGGCAATCGTCACTCAATCCCCGCCTGAACCCTCAAGTTGACAGCCGAAGGCAATTATAGTACCCTGATCAATAAGAACCCAAAAAGCTTGATTGACACAACCCTCCCAGAAGCCTAGCACTATGGGCTTTGGAAAAGTGCCGCGGTGGTACCAAACCTCCAGGACGGAAGCCCAACAGTAGCTGACGTGCGGGTGTTGCTGGCAAGCCTTGACTTGTGTTCATGAGAGAATCGTCAGTGTCGTCCATAAAGGACCCAGTTTCGTCGTTTGAAGACTCGGAGCAATTTAGGTAGGCCCCGAGTGACTATCCTGCGAGCACTGAATAGAGAATCCACAAGCCCAAGATTAAGTCCGAAGACCACGGTTGCGGATGTAGGGAACCAGAATTTTTTTGACCTGGTGCCCGAGTGACATTTTGAGGTTCTGCATTTAAGTCGACTCACTTGTAGCTTGCATGCGGGCATGCTAGCTGGAGATGTCTGAAACCAGCTTGGACCTTTGACTCTGGTAACTTGGGAGCCAGGTGGCATTAGTCATTAGTGATGAATGGATTTTTCGCAGCATTCTGGTCTCATGCACATGTCCCTCCACGACATTGTTGTCCTTGCTGGACGGAGGAGATCAATTAGTCGGTTGCTCAGGGTGGAAATCTATGGCTTCAGATTAAGATTGTCGTCCCAGGGTCGGTGATGACGATCAGCCACTCGCTTATGCATAATTAAAGACAGTGTCACAACTTTCATGGCGGCTAGCACGTCGTCCGCCAGCGGTGGCCAGCCTGGTGGCGGAAGTTCGGCGTCCGACCTGAAAAGAAGCCTCAGCTGTGAATCAGCAGGAGGGAGCCTGAGGAAACACAGAAAGACTGGCGGCGACGGCAGCCCGGCAACCAGCACCACGGGGGCGGCACGGAAGCGGGAGTACTCCACTGGACCTTCGAAACCCTGGGCCCTGCTGACACGAGGCGGACCAGCATCGACCGCGAATGAGGAGAAGCATGTGGCTGCATGCTACAGGAAGCATGGCGGTTTAGCGGCACGGTTGCAAAGGTCTTGTCAATTCTCGTTAGTCGGCTGCCGTTTTAATTCCTTCTGCACCCGTGTCGACAGTGAATGCTTCAACAAACAACATCCCGTCGCGATGGATATGCTACTGTACTAAACCGCAAAGTCAAGTGACATGAGGTGAACCAAATGCTGGCGTCCTGCAATGAGTGCAGATGGTACAAGCACAGGGCCACTTGGAAGTCTCGCTGCGTGTATTTGGAGCCAAGTGGCATGCAAAGATCATGGTTGGAGGCCGCCTCCACGAGTCCCTCCCCGTTCGGCCTCAGATGCCGATGTTGCTTCGAATACTACGGCGAGGCCAAGGACACCACGGCTTCGCCCTACATAACAGGGGTGAAGGGCAGAATGAAGCATCTGGGCTGCATGTCAAGGCAATTTTGCTTGTTTCTGTCCCGTGTAACTTCTGCCGCTGCCACTGAAGCTTGCAACGGCAAGTCCATTCTCAGGCCCGGTGCGAAGAAGGCGACTCTGCAGATCTGCGACCTGCTTGATCACTCCAGCTCGCCACAGCATCTCGCAGCTGTCGCGAGCCGAGGCAGCGAGACCACAGAGAAGCATGGCAATGGGCACGTGGACGGCAAGAGCGACACCACCCCCACCGTCGCACAGCTTCTGCTCTCGCAGCAAATTCTGAACAACCCGCTCAGTGCTCAAGGAGCCGAGTACACAAGAATGTGCCAGCTTGGAAGCCGTTCCGACCGAGAGAACTTTCCGTTCGCGAGATCGGATGCCGGCCAACACTTCAAGAATGTGCAGGCCATGGCGGCTGTGCTTTTCGAGGAGGATAGAGAGTCTTTCAAGCGTCCAGGCTTTAGATGCCTGTCGGTGGCGGAAGACGTCTGCGGAAGCCTGAAGATCATCAGGTTTCGTGGGGTGACGACCGACTTCGGCGTCCGGACCCGCTTGCTGGATGTCTCCGAGTCAACTTCGAAGATCGCACTGCACAAGAAGGAGCAGTTGGAAGCTTCAATCTTGGAGTTTTGTGACCGCAGCCCTGAGCTGGTGGACACCTTCAAGAAGTCCGTTCAGGCGGGCCACCGTCACAGGTTGAGGCCCCCAAACTTAGGCACTTTCCCTTGGTGTTAAGGGTCGGCGTGCTCGACGGAAGAGTGGATTCTGAAGGGCCATGAGTCAGTTGGTGTTGAAGTTGTTAAAACAGACATTGCAAGCAACGTAGGGCCTGCGTGGACGACAAAGTTTCAGGGTGCCAGGATCGGGGGCATGCGGGTTGGGTGGGATTCGCAGAAGCCTTGGCAGGGATGGTGTACAGACGGGGAACCAGCAGAATTGCTGGCTGGTACTGTATGCAAATCCACCCTGTTTCCAGCATTGCGCACAATTTTTCGGTGCAACCTACATTCCGCCCAGCGGCTGATGGAGACGTCGCTTCGAAGCGACAGCAGAATCGACAAGTTGTTGACGGCTGTCGTCACCAAGTTCTCCTCTGATTCTGGCACCGGCCCCTCTGACCTTGTTATTTTACACTGCCAGTCCCGAGTGCGAGTGGTCATCATTCGATGAACAGTCATGCAGCTAAGGCTACGGCTCCCTCGCCAGAGGCCTCGGCAATAGCCCAAAGCTCAGGGGCCACTTCAAGGCTACCGAGCTGAAAGAGCTGGACGAAATCGCCGAGATCAAGCCGCTATGCGATTATACTTCCTCAGACGAATCCCAACCCGGTCCACCCAGAGAATCCCCTTCACTCCGAGTCCAGAGTAATTGATCTGAGACCATGAGAGCATGAGAACAGCCAGGAACGAAGTGTCAAGTGGCCAATTCCAGGGAGAATGTCTGATCTAAGGCACTGCTCAAAGTCGTTGCACTGGGCACAGCACCGCTTCGACACGGTCACTGCCGTGCTTCGCATCGCAGTTCTTCGTATTTCGACCATCCTGCAGTTCTTGATCGAAGTTCGCTCCATGGATGGCGTGGCCGCCCCGTGGGCGGCGGACTTGCTTGACAACGTTGCCTGGCACATGTCACTTCATCGGACTTTGCATTGAGATGATGATATACACTAACGTAACGAGGCATGTTTCCACTGTCCTAGGTCTTTACGACGGAGAACTTGATTCTGATCTCGTTGATAGCAGAATGGTCCAGCACCGTCAGCGGCTATGTCCATCACTGGGACAACCAGGGCGGCGACAAATCAGGGAACCCCAAAAGAAGCCCGATCGGGCACTTGGCATTCGTTTGTCGGTCCATGGGCACTCTGAAGAAGGCAGGGCATCACTCTATCCGCCATGTACTTCAGGGTTACATGTGCCGCATGCCAGGACCTCGGCCGTCTGTTTGAATTTGACATCAAGAAGAACAAGCCGCCTCTGGTCATGGACCAGCGGTTTACCAAGGGCTTCGTCCAGATTCTTCGTGGATGTCTTACAGGCGGACTCTTGCACTCAGGGCTATTAGCTTCAAGTCATAGCACTCCCCAGGAGGCCGCCTTGCTGCATGCACGTCGATTGGCGCCGGCGGAAAGGTGCTATACCGAGGCCGAGGCCAGATCATCCTGGATTTATTCATCTTCCAGTTCAGGCCTTTGGCCTTAGAACATTAGTCGTGCTCCCAGGTCTGTCCGACGATGAGTTCCAGACGGCACTGCTGAAGGAGATGGGCTCCATCAAGAACGTCTCCCGCCTTTATTTGCAGGAGCTTGCGACGGAGCACGAAGTGGGCTTGGGGCAGGGCTTCGGGGCGTTCGACATGGAGTCGTCGACTCTCCCGAAGCCCGAGACACTGGACGTGCTCGCGAAGCTCTTCGGCCACACGGCGGGGTGCTTTGAAATTGCATGTTCAGTGCTCGTAGTAGTAAAGCTTTGGTGCTGCAGGGCGATCTGCTGGCCGCCGAGCTCAACGTGGTCCGCCCGGCAGCTCGCCAGCTAGTCCAGCCACTTGTCGTAAATTGTCACTGTGCGGCAGTTTCGTGAAGTTCATCTTTGATTCACATGAGCTGCCTCGCCTCGCTGAGGGCTGGCATCCACTCGCCGACGGAGTACTGGGGCCAAGTCATGCTGCACTGGGCGGCGAAGCTGAGAGTGCTGCCGCAGTGCGTCATAAGCTGAGTCGCGTTTGCATGCTGGCAGGCATAATAGATTCAGAAGCGATCCCCATTGCTTTCAGAACTCAGGTGTCTCTGCTGCTCACTCTATTCGAGTCCACAGGGGTCCTCGAGCAGAACCTCGCGGCTCTGCGGGGCTACGGGCACGAGCAGCGGCAGAGCATGACCACGAGGAACCGCCGGAGCTGTCTCAAAGTTCTTTTGGATGGGGTCGCAGTCGCCCATCATTCCGTGCGGGGTGACCGCTCTTACAGCTTGACACCGTTCGGTCTCAAGGCCGAGCTGCATTCAGAAACTTTCATTTGCCTTTCCATTTGCCTCTAGGCCCCGGTCCCGAGCAGATCTTCCCCTGAACCAAACCAGGACCAACTTTTTCCCCTGAAGGTAATGCGAATGTACCAGAGACTCTACGGCGGCAGGAGCAACACCCGCAAGCCGAAACCTGGCCAGCTGCCCGACATCAGGTTGCCAAAGCGGATGGCGCCTGGGAAGGTTGGAAAGACTGGCATGGCTGCTTTGATGCGGATCCGACAGCAGCAAAAAGAAAGCATCGAGGCTGCGGGTGACGTGGCCGCCTCAGGAGTGGATCCAACGAAGCTGGAAAGCTGCCTCGACACGGTCAACAAGTCAGCAGCAGAGCGGACGACCGAAAAACAAAAGAAGTTGAGCAGCAGCCTTGCAGATCGTGTCACTGCGAAAATCCGTCTCCTCACGAATCTGGACGAGGTTTCGAGGCAGAAGCTCCGGGAGCAGGTCAAGAATGAGAACGAAAGGCTGACAAAGCTGAGAAGCATCCAAGTCAGAGACCTTGGTGCAGCAGAGTGCATGACGGACTGCTGCAAAGGCCTGGTGATTGCGGTGCCCACGGTGAAAAGCATTGAGGGCATCGACCGCATGGCAAAGGATGCTGGCCGGATTCTCAAAGACCTCGGCGGTCCCAGAGTCGTCCCTCTGACCACGAAGAACCTGGTCAAACAATGCCTGGAGGCCAGCTTTACAATCTGGTACGGCCTCACTGATGCTGCGGAGGATGTCTTGCTTTTCTACAAATCCGAGACCTCCCCGGAGCTCAGCACGGCAATGAGCCGCCTGCTAGGCGGCCACGTAGCAGGACCCACGTGGCTCCGTGCATGCCAACAAGCAGGAAAAATTGTCCGGCCTGTGACGATGCTCGGAAGGGCACTGCGAGTTGGAAGGCAGCTGGGCTTCGATGAGACTGTGAAGCAACGGGACGGGTTGCTGAAGGTCATAAGTGCTGCTGAATGCCACCCAGCCGGCGCCAGGGAGTGGGTGGTCAGAAGTGCTCGGTCTGAGCTGAGACTTGTCCTTGTTTGGCATAAATGTGTTCCAGTGTCCTCGGGTGTGAGATCATCCTCGTAAGACTGCGTGCATTGCATCTTTAATGTAGCCGATGACTGTGCACTGCTGCTGCTGGTACTTGGAACGTCTGGGGTTACATGTCTTGCAACTGCGTCCTGGGTCAGTTATTTTTTAGTTGTTGGTCCGTCAGACAATAATAAGGAGAACTTCAATACTACAAGTTATGCTTCATAACTTGCCCCTTGAAATGTTGCACTGGAATTTCCAATGCAAAGACCGAGGTCTCGCACAACTGCCTGGTGGATTGTGGCCGAGCCTTCAAAGTCTGCTGCCAAGAAGAAGCCTTCCGACACCAAGTTGCCTGGCAAAGAGATTCGCTACTTGAGCTTCCTCCATGCCATCACTCAGCAGCTCCACCTGCACTGGCATCTTCTATTTTGCATTCCATTCGGTTTGGTTTAGGTATTTGGGTTGGCAAGTCAGTCAGTCGTTTCATTTCACACCAGCATCGGTCTCAGGTGGTCTTGAAAGCTGTGCCGTGGTTTGGAATGTCCGGTGCCGTGGAGCTGCCTAAGCCCAAATGCTAGGACTCAGACTTGAGACACCCTGCCCTAAGTCAGTCTAAAAAGGTAAGCGGCTTTGCAGCCCCGGTGACTGGTTCTTGGTCAAAGTGTGAGCGTGAAAATCACGGCTCACTCATGCGACGGCTGAACAGCCAGAGGGGGAGTTCTCGCGGAGAAAGGTGCAGTTCATGTCTTCGTCATACAGCTCACCCCGTAGGGCTGATAATTTTAATAAGAGCTCTACACAGGCTTGTGTTTTGCGAATTTCCTGGGACGGGATAACACCAAACCCTAAAACCTAAAACCTAAACCCTAAACCCCTAAACCCTAAACCCCTAAACCCACCCTAAACCCTAACCCCTAAACCCTAAACCCTAAACCCTAAACCCTAAAAACCCTATTCACTGCATGCCAGGTCAGCGACCGAGCGACCGACGTTGATGGTTCGAGAAAGCGGCCTGCGAAAAAATGCGTGAGTCACTGACAGATAAAGCTGTGTCCCATGGCCCCCAGCCAACCTGAAAACCATCAAAAAGGGCATCCTTTTTGAAGCCCCTCTACTGCCGGGCCTAGACATAGAAACCCTACATTCTACTATGTATATATATATATATACACACATCTATAGCTACTTTGGACCCTTTGGGGCCAGCAATTCCGCGAGTCGTGTAGGATGATATGCGACTTTTACAGGTTCACGGTCTGCTCTTGGCGTAATATAGCCTAAGGGTCCATGTGCCCAAATAGTAGAACATTGGCCCTAAAGTACCCATATAGGGACTATATTAAGGCCAATGTTCTACTATTTGGGTACATGGACCCTTAGGGTAGGGGCCGAAATAATTACCAATACTACTGTTGATGGACAAAATTCTGCATGACCCAAATAAATCTCATAGTTTAGGTATATAAAGTCATGCAGGGTTTTGTCCATCAGCCGTATTGCGGGGATTCCTGATTATGGTTATAGTATACCCCAAAAGCCTGTCCTAATGTCCTAATTATGAAGGCCCCTATACTATTGTAGTTTATAAGGGAGACGGTCTGGGACAGATTTTTGCCACGCTTCTGGTGGAGGGCTTCGTCCGCGCACATCCTAATGGCCCGCCCCCTCAAAAGAAAATTGCTTCCCAAAACCTATGCGGCACCCTCAACCCTATAAAACCTAAACCTCTAAGCCTCTGAACCCGAAACCAATTCAGTACGGGTCAAGCTATGGCTTTAGGGTTCGGGCTGGTGGGACTCTCTTCAAGGGTTTCCGTTTGGGTCAAGGGTTTAGAGTTTAGGGTTCAGGGTTTAGTGACGTAGATCCTTTCAGGAAGGGTTTGGGCCCATGGGACTTAGTAAGCAGGGGGTCAGCCCAACTATATGGCCTTACTTACTAAATCCTTCGGGCCTTACAAAGTAGTTTCACAAACTGCACGCAGCGGAATCCCAAAGCCTTTTGCTAGGGTGTGATAAGCTTCTAATGCGAGTCTTATAATTCCGTGGACTGATGGGGTTTGTTATATATAACGGTTGTTGCGCAAGTTAGTTGAATTTGGGATGTGCAGTGGCTCTATCTCAAAATCCTGACAAAAAAGGTGTTCGACAGTTTTTGGAAAGTGCTACATTGGTGTCTGTGCATATATATATATATGTATATCTATATATATATATATATGTATATATATATGTATATTTATATATACCAGGCTGCGTGTTGGAGTCCTGACAAACGATTTTTGGGGCTCTCTAACCAGATCCTAAAACTAACCTTACGTCGACTAGCCTTAAAATTTCAAGAATCCGGCGCTGTGACTTGCAGACGTGATGGAAGTACTCACTGCGGTCTGGTTGTCCTGGCCAGGGGCTCTTACTTGGAGGGTTCCTTTACAGACTTATAAGTACCGCAAAAGGGGTCCTTATTGGGGATATGGTACTTAAGACTAAACCCGAAACCCTAAACCCTGAACCCCTTACCAAGTCCCCCATAGGGGCCACCAGGACCCCGGAGCACCCCTTCATAGGGGGTATGTGGGGTTTACGGTTTAGGGGATAGTTGGGGGGTCTAGGGTTAGAGTTTCCTTTTCTGGTGGTAGGGTACCATGAATCCAGATCTGTAGCCATCAACTCGTACACCTGCGGGGGTTCCACTCTGTAGATCATACAAGGGGTCTGGGAATCTCCGTGGTGCATTTCGCAGCCCAGAGAACCCCAAGCCAATGAATGAACCCTAAACTCTACATGCACCCCTAAACGTGATTAGTCTTGTACCTACGAACGCCGCAGTAATTACTCAGACTTTTTGCTTCACGAACCCCAACAATAGGGGGCTTGTGTTTTTTTGTTTCTTCCTAACACAGTACCTTTTGTGTCGAACGAAGTATAAATATGGTGTAAACTTTTTATTGTGCAGGGCTGCTCCAACCTTCAGTCAAGCCCTGAGCTAACTCATGCCAAGCCCCATCCCCAAACACCTGAAAGCCTGAATGCCAAAGCTCCATGTGGTTGTGGGCTTTACGACGACGCATGAATTTCTAGGGTGCTTTACCGCTTCACCAGGTCACCTTCGCGCATCCCTCTCAACCGATGCAAATGCGCCGCAGCAGGTTCATCAAAATCCTGCACAAGTGTCGCAACTACTACGAGTTTAGGCTTTAGTCCTTTCAGTTTCATGCTCAACCCAGACCTGCGGGAGGATCCAAAAGGTAGATCCCTTATTGGGAGGTCCTATAAAATGCCCTTTAGTAGTATAGGGTCCCAAACTAGGGGATCTACTTTCTACCCTAAACCCTAAACCCTAAACCCTAAACCCTAAAACCTAAACCCTAAACCCTAAACCCTAAACCCTATACCCTAAACCCTAAACCGTCCCGGGGTCTGGGAAGGTTTTAAGCTTCAGGGGCTTCTGGGTGTGAGGCTTGATGAGAGCTACGGGAAGAGGGGTTTAGGGTTTAGGGTTTAGGGTTTAGGGTTTAGGGTTTAGGGTTTAGGGGTCACCTCCCCGAACCTTCAGTCAAGTCAAATCCTCAAAGCCTTAAGGTATAAGGAGCCCCCACCCAAACCCTAAGCCTAAAATCCGGAACTCCGCCCCACCTGCAGAGAAAAGAATGAAGAAGCCGAACCCTAACAAGAATCTCTTTGGGGTCTAGGGCTTCGGGTTAAGAATGTCCACCAACCCCCCTTGCCCATTCCCCCTTCGAAAAAAAACATGCGCTTCCAACGAACATCGCAATCCCCTCCTATTCTTCTTATCAAGGCCCCTACATGAAGCCTTAAGTTCTGGCCTTTAAGGACCTGTAAAGCCCTCCGAAACCCTATGAAACCCCAGAAATGCCCTGACGGCCTGGACCTTAAACCTTAAATCCTATAACCTTAAAGCCCTTAATCCTCAACCCTAAGGCCGATGAAGACTTCTAATGCCCTAGAAAAGACCTCGAAAGACCTTTTGAACAATAACCCCAAAATACCCTGTAATAACCTCTAACAATCCCAAATCAAAGGGCTCTGAAGCTGTCTTCCGAAACCCTTAAATCCTGAACCCTAAACTCCCCTAAAACCTTTTTGCCCTAAACACAACATCCCTAAACCCTCAACTCCCCAAACCTCAACACCTAAATCCCTACATCCCTAAACCCTAACCCCCTACATCCCTACATCGCTAAACCCTATACCCTAAACTCCTAAACCCTAAACCCTAAACCCTAAACCCTAAACCCTAAACCCAAACCCCCTATAAACCCTATACCCTAAACTCCCCGAACCCTAAACCCTAAAATCCTAAAACCCTAAACCCTAAACCCCCAAACCCCCAAAACCCTAAGCCCCAAAGCCCCACCTGTAGTTTCCTTTAGCCTTTGCTGCGCCGCAGATCTCGTACACGTGCATCGGAGGGCAAGTCCGGACCAATGCATCTGCCCGGGCCCAAAGCGACATCTAAGTTAGTTTAGGGTTTAGGATTTAGGGTTTAGGGGTTTAGGGTTAGGGTTTACGGTTTAGGGTTTGGGGTTTAGGGGTTTAGGGATTAGGGTTTAGGGAGAATAGGAGGGACCCCTGGAAGGGACCCCTGATCCTAATACCCTATATAACCCTTATAAAGCCCAAGGGTCCCTTGAAGGGTCCCTCCTGTAGTCTCTTGGGACATACTGCAGCGGTCTGACTTTCTGAATAGTTCGCAATGCTTCTACCACTTGGGACATACTGCAGCGGTCTGACTTTCTGAATAGTTCGCAATGCTGCGATCTACTCCTACCATGATTTGAGGAGAAGGTACTACATAAGGTGGATTGCAGCAAACATTCTTTTCCGGTATACTCCGCATCTCATCTCTGCTGCAGACTCTGAAGACCCTAACTCATCACGGAGAGAACCCGAAACTCCCTAAGCCCTAAACCCTACAAACCCCAACAGCACAAGCCCTCGCAAGGCCTGTGAGTTCCATCGATCCGAGTTATGTGCTAGGCCAAAGCTTGTGTCGGGGCCTGCTATCATAAACATCTCGCGGGGAGCCTGGAGGCAGAGGACGAGACAGCGTCTAGTGAGGCCATCCACCAGACCCTTGCACACCTTGGGCCCCCTCTAGCTTTGCAGGGTTTAGGGTTAAGGGTTTAGGGTTGGGGGTTTAGGGTTTAGGGTTTAGGGTTTCCTTTGCAGAATGCCACCAGGACCCGTCGGCCACGTGGTCTTCGCCTACGTGCGACATACGTCTACTTGACTTTTCTGCCTTCCATCGCGATGGTATGGCCATGGGATACAATCCGCTGTATGGGTGTCAGGGTAGGGCGTACGGTTGATTTCTGGCTTATTCAGAATTATTCATCTATATTTAGTGATCTCCTGTTTAAACATGAACGGATCATAGACAAAATTGCAGTTACTCCCATTCCGAAGGGGGTCACTACAGACATTTCCTCTACATCCTTCAAGGCCCAATAAGACGACCACATATCAAACATCATAACTAGCTCATAGCTATTGGGTTTTGGAGCCTTTGAGAACCCCCAACCCCCAGATGGAACCTTGAACCCTAAGCCCGATTATAAGCCCCAAACCCTAAACCCAAAGCCCTAAACCCTAAACTCTAAGCCCCAAACCCTAAACCCTAAGCCCCAAAATGGAGCCCCCAAAACCCCAAGACAGAGCGAAATCCCCAACACAGAACCCTAGGCCCTAAACCCTGAACTCTAAACCCCAAAAGCATCAAACCCTAAACCCTAAATCCTGAACCCTATAAACCCTAAAAGCCTAAAAGCCTAAACCTCTAAACCCTAAACCCTCTGAACCCTGGCCCCTAAAAAAACGCCTCAAACGCCTAAAAGCCTAAAGCCCTAAAGCCCTAAAGCCTCAAAACCCATAAAAGCCCCAAAGCCCTAAGCTTTGCCGAGCTTGGTTCTCCGAAGCTTTCTCAAGGCGTGCAATGCTCCCTGCAATGCCACGGAATCCGTGGCTGCGGCGACTTTCCCCGTTTTTTGCCTTAAGGGCTCCCTTATAGTGGTTTCCCCAAGGATTGGGGCTTAGGGTTTAGGGTTTAGGCGCCTTATAGCGGTTTAGGGGGTTAAGGGGTTCAGGGTTTTGGGTTTAGGTTCAAAGCTTCGACTCAATAATTACTTATACTATTTTTAAGTTTTTTTATTGCAAACCCTGTTCTAATGGGGCCTTACTATAGATCCCTATCATACATCCCTTTTTGGAACCCTTTAAGGATCCCTTTGAAGGAACCCTCTTCTAAGCATTACGGCCCCGTTGCCACAAGAAGGCCCCGCCAACCTCGGATCCGGAGACGTCGCCTGTAGGATAACCCTAAAGCCTAAACCGTAAACCCTAAACCCTAGGGTTTTAGGGTTTAGGGTTTAGGGTTTAGGGTTTAGGGTATAAACCTTAAACCCTAAACCCTAAACCCTAAACCCTAAACGGCACAGGCATAGCAAAGGGTCAGCCTGGCACTCGTGATAAACCCTGAGCCTAAATCAAATCAAACCCCAAGCCTTAAACTATAGGGTTAACTATAGGGTTTAGGGTTTAGGGTTTAGGGTCTAGGGTTTAGGGTTTAGGGTTTAGGTTTAGGCTATAAACCCTGAACTAGGACGTTCTGTCGGAATCAACTTCGATATGGGAGTTTCCGAAAATAAGGGGTACTTTATGAGGTCTTTATAATAAGGATCCTACTATTTGGGGTGCTATAATAGGGTCCCCTATTTTCGGCCTTTACAGATGGTTTTTGTTAATTAGGATGTTCAGTATTAATGTTTGACTTGTTTGGGGTATTGGTTCCTGATATAATATAGCTAACCCCAAAAAGCTTATACTGTTACCCAGTTGGTTACTGAACAGCTTAGTAAACCCTGAACCTAGATTAAACCCCAACCCTGCACCCCTAAACCCCTAAACCGGTTTAGGGTTTAGGATTAAACCCCAAGCCCTCAACCCGACCCCCAACTACCCACTAATATACCGTAAACTACCCACTATGAAGGACCATCCGGAATCCATTCAACGGTACTTGTTGCGGGGGGTCTCGGTCCTGGCAAAGACCCGAAACTTAGGTCCTCAATGGCAGGACTTTAAACTTTCTGGCCTTCTATATTGGGTCTATTTTAAAAGTTAGAACTTTTTTGGGCCTGGTTGTTGAAGAAGAGCGGAAACCACTTTCCAGCCAACCTTGCCGTGAAGAGCGCAGGGTTGGAGGCCAGGTCTTGAAGTTACCTGGCAAGACTCCCGTTGATGATATAAGTCCTGCATGACCCATAATAAGGAATATACCAGAATTCCCAGAGTTTAGGATTCTAATTATGAAGGACCCTATAGTAGGGTTGAGGGGTCAGGATTTGTTTGTTGAGGGTTCAGGATTTCGGGTGTTGCGCTTGAGATTGTAAGGTTTTCGTCGAAATGTATGGGAGGGCGTCGGGGTGTTTGCTTGGCTAGGGCTTCAGGACCCTTGCCTGGTGTTTTGACCCTAAACCCTAAACCCTAAAAGCCCCTATGTAAACCCCTAAACCCTAGACCCCAAACCCTACGTTGCTGGAAGCAGTGTTTGCCCTGGGCTTTCCTTTACGGATGAGTTTTGTTAATCACATTCATGTCCGGGGAACCCTAGACCCCTCACTCCAGACTAACCCCCAACCCACCCCCGGACAAGGATCCCTTAAAGGAACCCTTGGTTTAGGGTTTAGGGTTTGAAGGCAAAAGACATGCCAGGACCTTGACATCCACGGATCGGAGTCCATGATTCCTTGCGCGACCTTCATTAGCAGCCCCTTGGAGCCACCCATTAGACCAGAAGCTTGTTCAGAGTCTTCAGGGCTCTTGTTCCCAAAGGCTTACAATGGTGCGAAAGCCTTTCATTGCATGGTCTTTGGGCCGGCAAAGCCTTAGCTAATCTGTCGCGTTAACGGTTCACAGGATGCTGGTGTTTGGGCCCAGGATCTTCATTTCATTGCTTTTTTTTTTTTTT